TCGTATGTCAGGGATTCTACACATTTTGTGGAATCGGTAAAAGGTGTAAAGCTGGATGCTGGGGATATGTTGGTAAGTTACGATGTGGAATCCCTTTTTACTAGGGTACCAGTTAAGGATGCTGTAGAGGGTCTTCGCCGAAAACTCATTCCGGAGGGTTTACCAGGATACGTGCCAGATCTGGTGGAGTATTGCTTATCGTCGACGTATTTCAGCTGGAAAGGAGAATTTTACGAGCAGTTCGAAGGGGCAGCCATGGGATCTCCACTATCGCCAGTTATAGCTAATTTCTACATGGAATTATTCGAAGAGGACGCTTTGAAGAAGAGCCAGTGGAAACCAAAACTATGGCTACGATATGTGGATGACACATTTGTGATATGGCAACATGGTCAAAAACGGCTCCAAAAGTTCTTGGATCACTTGAACTTTCAAGATCCTATGATTAAGTTCACCATGGAAACAGAAACTGCCAAAAAATTACCTTTCCTAGATGTATTGGTCACCAGGACGACAAATGGAGATATAGAACTTGGTGTATACCGAAAGAAGACCCATACCAACAGGTATTTACAGGCATGTTCACATCATCATCCCCAACAGAAGAGGTCCGTGATCCGTACATTATTTCAGCGAGCAGCGAGACTATGTGAAGGAGAGAACTTGAAGAAGGAGCAACACTTTCTACGAGGCGTGCTGCAGAAGAATGGATACACTTCGAGGGACATCAACCAGGCCATCAAGCAGCGAAAGCAGAAAGAGGACACGGTAAGTACAAAACCACTTGGATTTATCTGTCTTCCCTATGTTTCAGGTGTAACGGAACGAATTGCTAGGCACCTCAAGAAGAACGACATCGTAGTGCGGTACANACGCCGTATCAAACCCTTAATAAAACCTTGGAATCAGCCCATTATCTTCAATAGATTAGAACAGGTGAAACTAGCGAGATTACATATAGGACATTCACAACTAACTTCCGGTTATTTGTTAAAACGAGAACCAAGACCTGTATGTTTGGGCTGCGAAGTTCATCTCACGGTAATGGGGTTGGTTGCGCGTTTGTGGTTGGGGATAGTGATTATTCATGGAGCTTACAGAGTTTTGCGTCTATCTTCTTTGCGGAGTTGTATGCCATCTTCCAGGCTCTGTTATTCATCCGTATGAGTCATAATGGAAATAACTTTGTCATAGTTACAGACTCGTTGAGTGCTCTTAAATCATTACAAGCAATGTGTCCAAATGAACCGATGGTACGGATGGTTGGAGAATTGTTACATGTTATCTTGCTTTCTGGAAAACAGATCGTATTTATATGGGTGCCCGGTCATATCGGCATTGAGGGTAATGAAAGGGCAGATAAAGCAGCAGGACACGGGGTTGACGGTAACAGTGTTGACGTCAGTGTATGTCGTCATAAGGATGTCATAAGGCATCTTAAATCGCTGGTATATAACAAGTGGCAGAATGACTGGCAACACAATGAAAGTTTTCTACGCCGTATCAAACCCTTAATAAAACCTTGGAATCAGCCCATTATCTTCAATAGATTAGAACAGGTGAAACTAGCGAGATTACATATAGGACATACACAACTAACTTCCGGTTATTTGTTAAAACGAGAACCAAGACCTGTATGTTTGGGCTGCGAAGTTCATCTCACGGTAATGCATATCCTGCTAGACTGTGAATTATATGCCAACGAGAGACAATTACATAATATCTCATGTCTGGATGATGCATACGCGAATCCTGTTAATTTGATTGAATTTTTTAAGTGCATTGATTTGTTCCATCAATTATAAATACGGTGAGCGCTAAAGATCTTCGCTATCGAAGCGCTTCTAATATCAATAATAATAATAATAATATAGCATCTATCGAAGATTCCTCTGTTTTCAATTTGGTGATTTTTTTCCAGGTAAGTTGTAGGATTTCTTGCTGCTGGTTTGTAAGCTGTGTCCTTGAACAAGTACGTAATTTTGTTTTTATAGTCCACTGAATCGATAACCACAGTGATGTTGACTTTGTCCGCCGGTAGTATGATGATGTCCTGGTTATTTTTAAGACGTTTTAGGCCCTGAACTTCACTTGGAACCAAGTTGGGCTTGGGTGGTTTGGCTAAACGTAGAATCCTGAAGATGTCCATTCTCAGAATTTCGACTTTTTGCTTGTCCATTGTGTTTAAGCTGGATTCGACGTTGGCAATGATTTCTTCGACCAGAATAGTCCTGGGGGTTAGGGCGTAGTTGAAACTTTTGCTTAAGACGGCTTGTTCGGCATAGGAAAGATTACATTCTGAAAGATTATTTACGATTTTCTGGATGCTTCGACTGTTTGGTGGATTCCGTTTGCAAACCCTCGAATTTCATTTGGAGAAGATTTCCTCCATCCGTGAAGAACGTATATATATATGTGATCCGAGATTTCATCCGTTCTTCCTGTTTGTCGTAGTCTCTCAGTCTGTTTGTCTTAATCTGTAAGGACGAAACTGGTTGAATTAAAAAAAAATCATAAATTGGATCATACACTCATGACGTACCATTTATGTGATTATTTACCTCTCAGATTATATCTTTTGATTAATTATTATATAAAAATAGTACGTAGAACTCGAGTTAAGTAAAAAAAATTTTTAGCCCCCATTTTTTAACCCTATATACTAACATGTAATTTAGAACATTAAGCCAAAGCGGAAATTTCATCCATCCTGCAGTAGCCAGCTTTGAATGTTATAATTGTCGTCCGCATGCTTTAATTCGCGAAATGCGAATGTACGCACTCGTATTCGCGCGCAATATTAATGCGGACGAGTAAAATAATTGCGTTATAATGTTATGCAGTACGCGCTTAGTTGTTATTTTACTACTTCAAAAACGTTCCTGCCGGACTATAAGTCATTTCGGGTTTCGAGCTGTTGAGGATTAAACCGGAGGAATTTCACGAAATAATTCGCATCCTACTGGTTTTTGCCACCATCTGCTTTGTAAGGGGTGGATAACTCAATGTGAAGTTTCGGCATTATTCAGGGCTAGTCGCGCGCTTTTTGCCCTTTGACCACTTTACGAACGACTGGAAAAGTTGTATACTCGAAAAGTTGTTGAGGTTATACGCAAAACTTTATTTTATCTTATTATTACTTACTTATTCAACAAAAAAACAAATTTACCTTTTTGAAACTAAATTGCAACATTTTAAAATTATGTAGCACCCTTTAGCAACAAATAAAATGCAAATAAAACTATGCAGAACGCATTAATTGAAACTAGGAACGACATGAAACATATGCTAACTCACAAATTTATTGTTATCCGCGTATACTACCGGATCCGTTAATTGTGCCCGGATGTAATAAAATTAATTAATGCCGGATTAAAATTATTAATGCGTTGATATCGCGTGTTTTGATAAATCGCCGCCGTCGCATTATTGAATTGGTTCGACAATTTCCGAAAAGCAGACGGGAACGGCTATCGCGAACAATATTAATCGTTCATGAAAAAGGTCCTGATCGGATAATGTTCTCGAATTTTCCATAGTTTATTACTTCAGTTTGATTTCACATCGTAATGCATATTGTATTCCGCTTTAATTAGCTGGCGTGAATTGTATATTTGAATTTGTTTGATCATAACAATCCCAAAATGTACTCCAACATATCGAAATCAATTCACTTGCATTATACTAGGAAGAAAACATTCGGGTTTAGCCAAACGTCTCTCAAGACAGCTATACCCGAATGATTCTACGTCTAGATTTTGTGTTAGTTCTAGTAATAGTTCTAGTGATAGTGTAAAACTGGAACTAACACTAGACCTAGAACTAGAATCATTCGGGTTTAGCCGCACATCTCTCAAGACGGTTAAACCCGAATGATTCTAGTTCTAGGTCTTGTTTTAGTTCTAGTGATAGTGTAAAACTGGAACTAACACTAGACCTAGAACTAGCATCATTCGGGTTTAGCCGCACGTCTCTCAAGACGGCTAAACCCGAATGATTCTAGTTCTAGGTCTTGTCTAAGTTCTAGTGGTAGTGTAAAAGTAGAACTAACACTAGACCTAGAACTACAATCATTCGGGATTAGCCACACGTCTCTCAAGACGGCTAAACCCGAATGATTCTAGTTCTAGGTCTTGTTTTAGTTCTAGTGATAGTGTAAAACTAGAACTAACACTAGACCTAGAACTAGAATCATTCGGGTTTAGCAGCACGTCTCCCAAGACGGCTAAACCCGAATGATTCTAGTTCTAGGTCTTGTCTTAGTTCTAGTGATAGTGTAAAACTAGAACTAACACTAGACCTAGAACTAGAATCATTCGGGCTTAGCCGCATGTCTCTGAAGACAGCTTAGCCCGAATGATTTTAGTTCTAGGTCTTGTCTAAGTTCTAGTAGTAGTGTAAAAGTAGAACTAACACTAGACCTAGAACTAGAATCATTCGGGTTTAGCCGCACGTCTCTCAAGACGGCTAAACCCGAATGATTCTAGTTCTAGGTCTTGTGTTAGTTCTAGTGATAGTGCTAGTGTAAAACTAGAACTAACACTAGACCTAGAACTAGAATCATTCGGGTTTAACCACACGTCTCTCAAGACGGCTAAACCCAAATGATTTTAGCTCTAGGTCTTGTCTTAGTTCTAGTGATAGTGCTAGTGTAAATCTAGAACTAACACTAGACCTAGAAAATATCGAAACTAACGCTAATAAACCTAGAACGTTCGAGGTTAGCCGTCTTGAGAGACGCACTGTAATGTTAAGCTAATTTTAATTTTAGTTATAACTAGCGTGAACTTATGATGTAAAGCTGATCAATAAAAGCACAGACAACTCGTTATTTTACTAGAATAAACATACTGACGTGTAAAATACCGATGATATATTGAACTAAATGGATGCTTTCTGCAGCTGCGATCTTCAGATAACCGACGGCAACAGTACAAAAGTGGGGTACGTGGCGTCGATAAAATTTGGACACTTCGTTCTGATGGATAGTTCTTTTGAATCGGGTCAGATACGATACGTGGTATGATTTTTAAAATTTACATCTCAATGGACGGTCATAAGCGTCATCTTGGTTAATACATAAATTTTATAAAATTTATATAGCTGTTGTGTACGGAATAGATATTATTTTAACTTTACCGTTCTTAAACCGATTTAAATGCAACATCTTTGGTTTAATAAGTTTCATTGGTTTGATAAATTGAGACTTGGGAGAATAAATTTATTTTTGGACGTGAAAGTTTGGAAAAATCGGGAAACGAAATACATCATTTTGGGTAATTAGGTTTCGAATTTATGGTCCAAAATTCAACGCACAAATCACTCCGCACGCTGGCCGCGTCTATACCATGATGCACAGCTCAATTTCTACCGCTTCGTTTGGATAGAACCCCCCAAAAATCAGTCAACAACCACTCAAAAAAAAAAAATGAAACCGATCATAAGCACTTTCAAATTTGCTGTTTTTTCACTTCATTTACGAATTACATTTACCATTAAAGCCCTTGATTGTGCTCGAAAATAATTATAGACACTCGAATAATTCATTATCGAATACCGCCGATTACAACCCTCCCCATTCGACTCAAACGCCAGTTTAGCGTTTCTTTAAACGTCGTTTCGAGATAATAGATTGTTAATTAATCATTCCTAGCGAGAGATGTTCCAGTTCGTAGAAACCCCGGGCCAATGTCCCTTTACGAAGTTCAGAATCGTTGCTGCACTTTGAGGGGTGTAATCGGAATAGAGGGGAGATGCGCCCATTTGGGAATTCGTAATGACCCCCCGACTCAACAAGATCGTCCGGCCCCCACGGTTTTATCGAAATTACGTTTACCGATTGTTACCGGCGATCACTAATGCGTTCGATGTGCAATCTAATCATCAAGAGGTGGAATTTCGTTACCAATGTTAAAGTCAGTCGAAACGATTGTTTGCCCACGTTTTTATAGCGTGGAGCGCCGTTATCGAGCGACAATGGCCTTTTATACAGATAGAGGTCGATTTTTACAAATAATCGGCCCATTTACAGGTATATTCGAAGGAGAAAAAGACTCCTTTCTTTTCGTTACAAACGTACTTCAAATAACAAAAACATTTTTCACGAAAGCAATTTATTTTTATTGTATTTAAATATATTTTAGTTAAACGAAAAGTAAATATAAGGCTTGTTAAGGTAACGAGACTCATTTAGAACCGTTAATAAACTTTAATAAACCAGTTTAATTAAACGACAACTCAAAACAACTAGGGAACTTGTATATTAAACAGTTTCCGACGCAGGTTCTAATTAAAACCTAAACCAAAAAGAAAGTTCGGGTATCCCATCCCATTGAAAAGATGAGCTCCTCCATCTCGACAGAGTGTCGAGATGCAGATTTAATAGGAAGTTTCTCGTCGTAAGATAATGAGGTCGCGCAACAAAACTAAGAAAACGTACGTAGGTAGATAAACTTAACCCTGCATAACAGATTTTAATTACTCTGTGTATCCACACTGCTGGATTATAAGTGTCAAATAGAACGATTTAAGTTTTGGATTAAATTGACGCGCGGGGATTTATTCGATTCGTATCTCGTTTTGTAACAATCCCGGCGTGTGTTTATATTATTTAACGGCCCCAATCGTGTGATTTAAACCTTCACAAATACGGTTGAACGGGAAATAAACCGTATTTTTAACGAATTAAACTGTGCGAAAGCTATAACTTACTCCTACAATTTATTGGAACGACCTAAAATCGTTATCTCAGAGATTTTATTTGAAACTATTTCAGGTTATGTCCAAAACCTTGATGCATTCTTGTTGTTTATAATGTATCTGAAGAACGAATAGAGATACCATTCCTGAAATAAAGAACATTTTAAAGCAAATTTACTTAGTATTTAATATTTTGAAAATGATTAAAAAGTTAATTAATGTAAATATCCAAGTTTCATTGAACAGAAATTACAAAATCGTAGTTGAGGGGTTTATTCCAAATTAATTACAGAACTTAATACCGTCTATTATTTGTTAATTTGTCGAGAGGAAGAGACGGTTTGATGATGGTAAATAGATGTTAGAATGGCCAAAGGGCAGATTGCGATCGAGTAAATTTTGGGATTCGGTTCGGTTGTTCCATTATTTAGTTAGAAATTCAACTCTGTCTTGATGGCTTCCGGGATTTCCGGGCGCAAACCGCCGCTCTCCTTAACATGTCTGCACACAGGATTTCCACATCTAATGCATTGTGCGATGTGCGCGGAGCCTGCGTTACCAACGAATTATCCAACTCGAATTTCATTCAAATCTGTACTCTCTCCTTCTCATTTTGTCGACGTTAAGATACTTCAAGATACTCAATACCTAAAACAACTCTAAATAAAAAAAATTTGGAAAAATTCAATAATCATTATGTAGCTTAAAAATTGACGATTATTTTTTAATCAATGTGAAATGACCCAAAAACACATTAAAAATAAAAAGAAAGAGCGGAAAAGTGTAAAACAAAGAAAATCACATTAAAGCAATGTTAACCGTGCATTCTCTTATTAAACCGATCAACACGTAACATACAAATTGTTGATTTTATAACCACGCACAGAATCAATCTGATAAACTGAAAAGTAAAGTTATTTTCACTAAATTAGGTGAGATTACAACGTATATTTTTTTTGGGATAAAACACCCTTGTTTTTCATAGGCTTTCGATGCATAACGACTGACTACCTGTCCTTAGATAGACTGTGTGTCAACAGACTCTGGGTTAATACTAACTAACACTAGACCGAGAACTAGAAAAATTCGGGTTTAGCCTCACGTCTCTTAAGACGGCTAAACCCGAATGATTCTAGTTCTAGGTCTTCTCTTAGTTCTAATGATAGTGTAAAACTAGAACTAGCACTAGACCGAGAACTAGAAACATTCGGGTTTAGCCGCACGTCTCTCAAGACGGCTAAACCCGAATGATTCTAGTTCTAGGTCTTCTCTTAGTTCTAATGATAGTGTAAAACTAGAACTAGCACTAGACCGAGAACTAGAAACATTCGGGTTTAGCCGCACGTTGCTCAAGACGGCTAAACCCGAATGATTCTAGTTATAGGTCTTGCCTTAGTTCTAATGATAGTATAAAACTAGAACTAGCACTAGACCGAGAACTAGAAACATTCGGGTTTAGCCGCATGTCTCTCAAGACGGCTAAACTCGAATGATTCTAGTTCTTGTGTTAGTTCTAGTGATAATGCTAGTGTAAAACTAGAAATAACACTAGACCGAGAACTAGAAACATTCGGGTTTAGCCTCACGTCTCTCAAGACGGCTAAACCCGAATGATTCTAGTTCTAGGTCTTGTGTTAGTTCTAGTGATAGTGCTAGTGTAAAACTAGAACTAACACTAGACCTAGAACTAGAAACATTCGGGTTTAGCCGCACGTCTCTCAAGACGGCTAAACCCGAATGATTCTAGTTATAGGTCTTGTCTTAGTTCTAATGATAGTGTAAAACTAGAACTAGCACTAGACCGAGAACTAGAAACATTCGGGTTTAGCCGCACGTTTCTCAAGACGGCTAAACCCGAATGATTCTAGTTCCTGTGTTAGTTCTAGTGATAATGCTAGTGTAAAAGTAGAAATAACACTAGACCGAGAACTAGAAACATTCGGGTTTAGCCGCACGTCTCTCAAGACGGCTAAACCCGAATGATTCCAGTTCTAGGTCTTGTCTTAGTTCTAATGATAGTATAAAACTAGAACTAGCACTAGACCGAGAACTAGAAACATTCGGGTTTAGCCGCACGTCTCTCAAGACGGCTAAACCCGAATGATTCTAGTTCTTGTGTTAGTTCTAGTGATAATGCTAGTGTAAGACTAGAAGAACTAACACTAAACCTAGAACTAGAAAGTATCGGGTTTAGCCGTGCGTCTGAAGCACGTTTCTAGTTCTAGGTCTAGTGTTAGTTCTAGTTTTAATGCTATAAAAATATGCAACATAGTGATATCTTATGCTAACTAGCGCTACCTATCACTGTCACTAGAACTAACATTAGAGGTTTAGCCGTCTTAAGAGACGCACGGCTAAACCCGAATGTTTCTAGTTCTTGGTCTAGTGTTAATTCTAGTGCAAAACTAAGTAGAACTAACACTACACTGAAAACTAGAAAATTACCCAACCCAACCCAACCCAACCCAACCCGGAATTTACAACCCACCCTCTGCTCCTTGCCCAACCTGACATTTGAGAAATACGCACCGGTTTAAATGTTAATTAACCTAACTCAAAGCCGAATTTCTACAGAAAATTCTGAAATAAATCAATAAATTACGTGGATCCGAATGTAACGTTTAAGACATGATGATTCTTGAGGTTATACCAAAAAAAATTTTTTTATAAAATATATATTCTTCATAAAATATATACATATTATTATAAAGTATAATTAATAAAATATGTTCAAACAGTCTAACCTATAAAAAGAAAAACAACGTTAATATCTCTACTAACCACTAAAAACAACATCCGTCTTATATATCACTGTAACGAGAAGACAAACCATTAAAAAGCTTTAACGTTTCACGCTGAATATTTTGCAAACATAATTCAGTCTCATTTATTCTTTCTTGAATCCTAAAAAGCAATAATACATTAAAATAATAAATTTATTCATAAACAGATAATTTACGCATATCTTAGTTCCATATTTTCATGAACTAAATTTTTCGTTTCAGATGGATCACTAAAACTCATGTTTCTAAGTACAATAGAACCTAAAGTATTATTATTATCATTTAAAACCAATTTCTGGTTAATCAATTTTTGGTTTTCCATTAATTCTTGAGATATCCGAAATATTTCTTTATCTAAAGCCATGCACCAAGTATAATGTCGTTTTAATTTCCTTGCGATTTTTATTGAGTAGCTAAAAATAAAAATTAAATCAATCATTTTTAATTAAACGATATAATTATCGTTTTTACGAAACAAATTTCTTCATTTCTTCGTTAACAACGTAATTTCGAAACTTTTTAAGGAGATTATTTAAAATGTTGTAAAGTTCTTTGTAGGCTGGTGGATGATTCGATTCACTTTGACTCACATCGTTTGGATTTGGAGTTCTAAGAATTCGTTTACACGCAGTTATAGAACTATAGCAACTAATTAAAAAAAAAAAATAATTAAAAATTATAAAATATCTTAATAAATTAATTTACAAAGTTTTAAATTCATCTTCTTTCATTTCATCTTTAATTTTTTTAATCATTGTTTCCAATGGTTCCTTATTATTGTTAAACTGCAAAAATTGCTCGCTCATTCCATTAAAATTTTCAATAAGCTCTTTAATTTGTCTCAATAATTTCCTATAAGTATTTAAAAATTGAGATTTATTCCCACAATTATTATTATTTAACAAATCGTTATTCATTAAATCGTAACATTCGATTTTTATTGTTAACGCAGTCAAATCCGTTCTAATTTTATAAAAAAGCTTTTTACTTAAAAAACTATCCAGCGTATAATCCGTAAACATTATTTGGGTTTTTATGGCACGATTTAAAAAATCAATCATTAATTCTTCTTCTTTTAAAAAATAAAGGAGTTCAAAACACATTTCCAGCGTTTCATTGGAATTAAAATCCGTTCTATGGGTGTATAATTTTTCCAAAACTTTAGGGAATGATTTCCTTTTTTCGTTGTCTATGTAATCATTTCGATTGAAGATGTAAAATTCAGTTGTATGGTCAATCTACAAAATCAATTTTTATTTAATAATCTTTGTAGGTATACTGTTTAAATTAGATAATCAGAGAGTTAAGGAGAACTTAGGAATGAAAAATCTATTAAAATGTCTAGAAAGTAAATACTGAAATAAACGAGAAATATTCGGGTCTAGTCGTGAAAAAAACTTTCAATAGCCAATGTCAACTTTAATTTTATTATTATAATCGTAATCTTCATAAAATAACCTTTAACTCTTTGTGTCCCGACGGTACTTTCAAGTACTTTCTACTATACAAGAAAGAATTTGTATAAAAAATGACACAATCCGCACTGTAGGGTTTTTAGGTATATTTAAACTTATTCGTCCAGATGTGAGGTTACAAGTTTAGTGAAAAGTGGTCTTGTTGAATTTTGTTGTTCAAAAAGGTATCTCTTTGATAAATGGTTATTAG